GGTGGGGTGGAGTGGGGCAGGGTGGAGTTTACTTAGCTGGAGCCAATTGTTGTCTTGTCAACATAGGAGCACAATATTGCCAGATCTAAAGATTTTTCAAGAGAAACTGAACATTGCATTTAATGTGAGATCTCCTATTTTTTTAAGTGTTAGGCATTTAATTTAAAAAGTATTCTGAGGAACAAATGAAAATAGACATCGACCTTTGGCCTATCTCTACCCAATACTTACATGAAAGCACTTACGTTATTATAGTGGGTGGCTGAGAGATAGGCAGGGAACAGCTGAACTTCAGATGCAGACAGACCTGGGTTAAATAACAGCTTTCCTTGACTAGCTATGTGATCCTAGGAGCCCCTGGGAGAGCAACATAGTGTCTGGGCCTGCAGGGATGACATCTACCTAGCCGTGCTCTTGTGAAGAGTAAGCGCGGACCTTGCACAATGCCTTGCACATAGTTGGAAATCTATTAATACCTAATAGTTACCACTTTTAAGCTGAGAAATTCCACACCACCAGCAGGATTTAAATGGGGGAAGGGGAAAATGAGTTTCTCTGCTGTTCTGGGGAAAGGGAAAAACGAGTTTGATCTGACAAGTCAGGATGCTTTAAAGTCCTGTCTGTGATAAATCAAACTCAAGAAAAGCCCTTGGGTAGGTGCCTTCAAAGATTCCACATAGAGAACAAATAAAAATAAAAACAAAAAGCAAACAAAGCACCCAACAGATTAAGCACCTAGTTACTGAGAAAGATTGGAGTTAGCACAACATTACCTACTCTTACAAAGCCAGAAGGGCAGAAACCACACTCCACGGACATGTCTTGAAAAATCAAGAAGTCCGGAAGTTCCAGCTATGCCCCACCTGGTCTGGGAGGTGTGGTTCCAGACAGAACCATGATACCAGAAAACACGGTTAAGGGGCTAGAGTCTGAGTTGACTAACACCCCATAGCTAAAAGACACTGTCAAGGCCATCTGGAAAGCCTCAGGATAGGAAAGAAAAATTTTGTTGGTTAAACTACTAGGCCATTAGAGCAGCAAGTTTTATTACAAATGGAATAAGAAAGAAATGAAGAAAAGAAAAAAAAAAACCCCATAAAGGGTGGCAGCTGCTGTTTGTTTCTAAGCTGTGCTTCCCAGTAGTTTGTTTGCTTGGTGGTGTTTCTGCAACATATTTGGAGAGAGTTTCCACATTTGCTTGAAATATCTCAATTGTGTTTTCAATGTTCGTTTTTCTTAACTGAAAAAATATAATAGAAAGAGAAGAAATATGGGATAGTGATGAGTGGCTGCCTCCAGGAACCTGGGAAGCAAACGGGGATGTGAGAGGCGGGCAGGAGCACGAGCAGGTGCAGGGCAGGCATCAGCTTCTACACCCAAGGGTCACTCGCCTCCGGGGTCCCCTCTCAGAGCTGGGGTGAGTAGGTGGGTCTCAGGAGGATCTGGATAGCTGACTTGTGAGACTACTCTTTTCTCTCCTTGAATAATCTATTCTTGGGTATATGTCCCAGCCAATCAAAACAAGGAGGCTCAATGCTGCACCTTTAGTTCAAACTGCTGGGAGAGAGAAGCTTTTTGCTGGATGCATCCAAGGGCCTCAGAAGCAAAGTTCAGAGGAACTAAAGAGAGTTCTTCTGGCAACCGGCCTTGCATAGGCAACTGGCCTTGCATAGGCACCCAAACTGGAAATCATCGTATCAGAATGATTCCCCAGGAATAATCTCTGAGAATCCCTGAGATTTATACTGTGTCAGTTTATTGGGGTATGCCTCAGAATCAATACCTGCCAGGGAGTAAAGGAAGAACTGGACTGAGCCGAGGGAAGAGCTGAACTGAAATGTAGTGGAAACGAAAACTTCATCTGATCCATGGGAGCACTGGAGCTAGCCCTTCAGAATTATCCTACCTGGAAGCATCGGGCCTTTGCATTCCCTCTCCATTGACCAGTCATTGCATGTGGGCTGCCCCCTAACACCCATCCCAGAAATGACAATCTTAGACGAAGTGACAGTCTTCAGCTGAGGACATTTTTCAGGTGAGAGCCATTCCCAGCTACCGACACTCCCAGCAGGTCGACAACTGAGTGCCTCAGTAGTGGAGAACTGAGCTCTGTGTGACATACCACAACATACACCACAAGCATCACAGCTAGAAAGGAGAACCAGTCTGGAATTAACAGAGGAGCCTATAGCATCTACAGTCTATGGTATCCTGACAGTAACAAGACAAAGCAGCATGATAAGAGTCATGGTATTTGCAAGGAGGGGGCTCTTTGAGACCCTAGACACAGAAGTCAGAGGTATTATTCAGTGACACCTCAGTACTGGCCGTAGGCTCTCTTCTCTCTTTCCCCCAATCCAAGTACCTGGAGAGCTGGATGTTTGTGAATATTCTTCCACACAATTGCATTTTATCATTAGTCACATCCTTGTAGAATTACGCTACAGCTTGAACAGTGTACGCATTTAGCTGTTTTCTCTACTCTAGCGTACCTCTAAAGTAATTTCTCCAAAAGGTCACCAAGACTCCAATTTCTAACATGTAGTGGTCGCTTCTCAGTCCTGCCCTAGTTGTCCCCTTTGAGGCATTCATACTGCTGAGCATCACCACTCCTGTTGAAAATACATCCCTTCCACCGTCTTCTATCATACCTCTTAGTCTCTCACAGATTCTACAATATTTCTTCTGCTCAGAACTTCCAGGTGGGCTTCCCTTAAGGTTCCACTCTTGTCCACCACTCCCCTAATTTGGAGTGTCAGTGGTTTTATCTCCAAATGTCCACCATATCCATCTACTCCACTCCATTCACACAGCAGGCTTCATTCATCATTATTTTGTGGGACCATCTGCTTTTAATAATTCTTTCCTCCTTCTAAGCTATTCTTTATACTGATCCTTCTAAGATAGACATTTCTAATCATGACACTCTATGATTTAAAATAATACAAGCTACGGTTCAAACTGAAAGTCAAGGTCCTGTCATTCTTAGGCCTCGCCTCCATCCCCAGCCCTGTGTTCCATTATTCTGCGCTATAACCAACCACATGTCCCTCATGTCCCTAACACACCACGCTCAGCTCTTGGTTCACACTGTCCATCTGCCAAGATTATTTCTTCTGCTTTCTTTAAGGGCAAGCCCATCCATGAAAGCATGAAAGCCCGGCTTGCTACCTCCTTTCTGAAGCCTTTCTCAAATCAGTGCCATTGCCTCTCTCTCTCTCTCTCTCTCTCTCTCCCCCCCTCTCTCTGCAGCTGCAATATGTTGTGCATAGCTTGTGATAACCACTTTCACATGGTGCTAGCCTCTCTTACATTTCTCTCCCTTGATGAATTACAAATGCCCCA